TACAGTTACAGACTGTAGTCCATCTGTTTCTCTGCATACTTTGTTAGCCCCCTTTTACCCTGTTCTTCAGTGGTCAGGACCCCCATGGACCACCACAGAGCAGGTACTATTTGGGTGGTGGATCATTCTCAGCACTGCAGTAACACTGACGTGGTGGTGGTGTGTTAGTAGTGTTGTGCTGGTACGAGTGGATCAGACACAGCAGTGCTGCTGAAGTTTTTAAACACTGTGTCCACTCACTGTCCACTGTATTAGACACTCCTACCTTGTCAGTCCACCTTGTAGATGTAAAGTCAGAGACGATAGCTCATCTGCTGCTGCACAGTTTGTGTAGGTCATCATCTAGTCCTTCATCAGTGGTCGCAGGACACTGCCCACAGGACGATGTTGGCTGGATATTTTTGGTTAATGGACTATTCTCAGTCCAGCAGTGACACTGAGGTGCTGAGAATGACCCACCAGGAGGTGGTCATAATGTTAAGCCTGATCGGTGTACATCTATTGCTCTGTGCTGCTTCTTCCACTTTCATTAGCTGAACAGAACCATATCAAGTTGAATGTAGTAGTAATACATTAAAAAGGACTATTTCAGTAAATTAGAATATATTCAAATCTGTTTTGTGTGATTTACTTGAGCTCATTGAGTAAATATAACTCATCTTAGAAGCTACTAAACACAGCTGCTTTTTTGGATGGTTATAACCATGCAGAAGTTAGAATAACTTGGCTAAAAATTCAGCTCTTCCAGAGTACGATAAATATATATTCATCATATCGGCTGATAATAATATCAATTATCATCGTCATTCCTACTACACAGCAATATGAACAACTATAAAAGGAAAATGTAGTCCTAGGCTTAAACCTGTCTAGGCAACTGACCCTCAGTGTACTAAACCATCATCTCTAATCTGCAAAAAGAATTTAGATTAACCACATTCTCAGAAAAAAGGTCTGAAACTGTCACTGGGGCAGTGCCCCTCTTGTCACTGGGGTGGTCCTCTCAAGGGTACATCTCAGTACCTTTAGTCAGGGAACATAACTGTAACATAATCTATTGAAATGCTATTTTCTAAGCTGTACTGACTCCACACACCCCGTCTCGTCTCCAGGCTTTTGTTTTATTGTTCTGTTTTCAAACATTTGGTTATGAAAAGGTACAAATACGAACTGACATATTGAGATCTGACATATTGTGTGACAGTGACAGTATATATACACTGTGTCATATCACATAATATTTACAGGGCCTGCAAACACCCAGATGAATTTAGCTGATAACGCAGCAGCTTTCCAGACCATACAGCTGTGATATAAACCCAAATACTCTATAATCTACAGTAAATGCCTGGTAAAAACACTCTTATTAAATAAATCCTTTTTTTTAATAAAAAAGTCTGATGTAGTGTGTAAACATTGTTAAAGTTTCAAAAACATGCCAAACATACCATTCATATATAACACTCATTCTGTACAGACCGCTTGTTTTGAATTCACAGGCTACGTCCACATTACCAGGCTGAAGTGGCACAAATTTGATTTTTTGCCCTAATGTGACTCAGATCTGATGTTTTCAGAGCTGTGTGGACACGCAAATCTGATCTTTTCACATCCGACCTGAGCCACTTTCATATGTGGTCCTAGATCGGATACATATCGGATACGTATGCGAACGCTCAGATCTGAATTCATGTGCTTTTTTCCGCTGTGCGTGCTCCATCATTCAGTTACTCTGGCAGCAGCGCCAAACAGAAGTTAAAGCCTGTAAACAGTGGAAAAGCAGCACCTCACCTTTTCCACCTTTGTTTCGCTCTAATAATGAAGCTGAGAGCTGATCAGAGTTAATTATCTTCACAGCGAAGCTCGTTCTGCTCGTTAGTCTGTTTGCTGATGATGCACGTGATTCGTTCACGTGACGTTACTGAGTAGGATGTGCGCATGCGGGTCATTTCAGGACGCTGGTTCGTTCACAATAACGACAGATTTGAATCACTTACCTAAACGAGTGTGAATCATCCTGTCAGACAGATCGGATTTGAGCAATGAGGCTTGTAATGTGAACGTAGCCGTAGCCTCAGCGACGTCACAAAAAACATACTTAGGTACATACATTAACACCCTACCATACTTAGGTACATACATTAACACCCTACAACCATTTCACCCCACCAACTCAAACTGAAGTTATAAGGAGTGTTTCAGTTTTTTGAACTAGACACAAGACAGGGCAGCCAATCAGAACAGAGATAATTTACATTATTTGTATTTTAAAAGCACAGCAACAAAAACAGTGTTTCTTTCTGAAGGATTATCATATGATGTATTATTAATAGCAGTAATTATAATAATTATGATTATTACAGAGGGGGGAAAAAGTAGGATATAGGCCTTTAAATTTTGAACCCTATTCAAAAAGCTCACACTGAAGCTCAAACCTACAAATTCGAAACTAAAAGCTAAATTATTGTTTCAAAAGCATATTTGAAATCGCTGTTAAAATCTGCCAAAAACAGCACTTCCCATTTGCAGCTTTACCAGCAAGCTGACTGGCTTCTTCTATTGAAGGGCGGGACTTTCCCTATGAACAGATGCCATGTTGAACGTTATGAGTTTTCCTATTCTTTTTCCAACCAGCAACCGGTCTCCTCCTTTATAACGTCTCTGCTCACACTACATTCAACTCAATTTGCAACCTCATCTGTGCTCAACCATAAACCTACAGCCTATAGTAGTTTGGGCCCACCCATTCACACTGAGGTTATAATGAGTATTTCTAACTCGGTACAGGGTAGCCAATGAAGAAAGAGATATTTTTCATATGTCTATCTTAAAGGCACTGTGGGTGTCGGCGATATGGCAAAAATACCATATCACGATACTCCAAGACATTTTCCCAATACACAATAAGCATCACGATATTTTGTTTTTTTGAGATTTAATAAGTTGCAACAGACATAATATAACCCGTAGCGCCACATATAAAAATACTACTATAATAACAATAAACCAACAGCTATAATGATTTTTATTTAATGTTTTTCGAACTGCACTACAATTAAACTGGCCTAATTATGCTAATTTTGTAATGAAACATGCATCTGGTTAGCGCTCTTTAAGTACTGACGAAATCCATGATATGCTCAGAAAAGCATAGTGACAATTTATCACGATAATGATAAAACATCGCCATACATAACTTTAATCTAGCAAATCTATACCTGCACACATAGATTGACATCTTGTACATCTTCAACCATATCTTGTATAATCTGGAATATATATAATCAATACTCTTACCCCTGTATACCCTGTATCTCATTTATCTACCTTAGACTAAATGCATATACGTAAATGTGTACAACTGTACATATCATAGCTTTTATGTCATAACTTAAACTACTGTAGCAAAACTGTGTATTGGGTCTGGTGCAATACTGTACATTATTAGAGTCTAATGTGTATATGTTTTTCATTTTTTTTTAACAAATTTTGTATTTAAGTACTACAAGGGGGATATGCACTAAGATTTTCACTCACCTTCGCACCTGCGTTAATGTTTTGTGACAATAAACGTGATTTGATTCGATTTTATTTGATTTACTGTCCACCCCCCAAGGCAGAGTAACACAAAACAGCCTCTTTCATTCCAAAAATGTTCATGTAAAATTGAATTAGGACTGTTTTCGGTACATAAACCCACATATATATCATAGGTGGGCCTCAGAGGGGTGACAAAAAGGAAAAAATATAGGATATGGGCCCTTTAAAAGTGACCTGTTGATTCGTTAGAAACTCCCTGGGTGTCGTCGCCCAACTGGCAGGCACTTTTAACACAAATGAGTTACATTTCTGTTCTATTCTATGCAGAAAACAGGGAATTTGTAATAATAAAAGGTTTATACTTCACTTTACAGCCTGTGGTTATTCAGAGTGGACAGTGGCAGAAGGCTCCTATTCTGAAATGCTAATGGGAGGGGCTCTAGGAGGCATTACTAGTCTAAGGAAGACAAAAAATGCCCTTTTTGAGCTGGAATGAGTCCGAAAAGAGGGGCAGCCACAGCATTTCCATGCCAAATAAGCATGTTTGGCGCGTCTGAACTACAGTATGAATGCTAGTTTTCTCCAACAACAACAACACCGACCAACTCCTCAGTGTTACTCAACATTTCGCCCTCCACACAACACGTCACTCCTGAGTAAAAGCCGCTGAGTAACTACTTTAATGCCACATCTCACAGTTAGCTATGCATTTATGGCTAGAAAAGGGCTCGGTTAGCCGGACGCCTGCTGTGTGGCGAACGGGAAAAGGCTAGCTAAGCTCGTAGGGACCGATAAAAGCCTCGGAAACTGAAATGAGCCCAGGGCTCCCCCTGTAAAAAGGCTGACACCGCCGCCTGGACTCGACCGCTACAGATTTAACTTACAGGCTAACGGTTTTAACGGTTTCGGTCGCCTGGAACGGTCAAATTTGCCGTTTTACTTTCTGACACGACCTCGGCTTTAGCTCGGCGGCTACCTAGCCGTGGATAAACGGCAATGAAAGGAGACACCCATGCTCTGCTGAGGATCTTTCCTCTCTTTTCCCTCCTCCCGTTCCTCCATTGCTGAAGTTGGATCCCAATTCGCCAGCTTCTCGTTCGAATTACCACGTTCCACCTTAAATGGTGCAGCAGTTCCATTCTGGCGCCTCGGGCAGCAGAACGTAACCGCTGCACTATTTAAGGTGGAACGGAAAAATTCACGCAAGAAGCTGGCGAATTGGAAGCTGACTTGGCGTTGTAACGGCCACCGGTAAGAAGTGAGCACACTTTACGTGAAATGTACTTTTAAAAGGGGGGTTTTGACACATTTTCTGTGTCTCGAAATCACTCCTTATTCACAAGCTAACGTTAACGTTACGTCCGACCAGCTGAGGAGAGCACAGGACCAACGTTACTCAGCCCAACCAGCGTAACGTAACCTACGGTACTGATGAAAATCACTTTAAAAAGCTCTTTTACCTTCTCAGATATCCGCTTTGTCCGGTTCGCGGGGCAGTTTGGTCCTCCTTCTCGACCTGCAGACGGACCGCTTTGAGTTACAAATCCGTTAAATGTGAGAAAAATCCTCTTTTCCACTAGTTGTTTCTTCTTTCTCTCTCTCTCGCTCTCTTGCCAGCACTACCAGCAGCTCCCCGAGCCTGGGCGCTTCAGTGACGTAAGGACTCGGGATGCGCGCTCTCGTTACTCATTAGCGAATGAATCGTTCTTTTGAACCGATTCGTTTCAGCGAAGCAGTGGAGCTGATTCATACATTCAAATATTTTTATAGCGTCCACACATCAGCCATAACACTGAGACCGCCACCTTGTATTCACACTCATTGTCCATTTTATCAGCTCCACTTACAATAGAGGTGTAGTTTGTAGACATAGACTGTAGTCCAACTGTTTCTGTGCATACTAGCTTTGTTAGTCAGGACCCCCGGAGGCCCACCACAGAGCAGGTGTTATTTGGGTGGTGGATCATTCTCAGCACTGCAGTGCCATGAAGGACTATTGGATGACCAACACAAACTGTGCAGCAGCAGATGAGCTATCGTCTCTGACTTTACATCTACAAGGTGGACTGATAAGGTAGATTGGACAGTGAGTGGACACAGTGTTTAAAACTCCAGCAGCACTGCTGTGTCTGATCCACTCGTACCAGCACAACACACACTAAGGCACCTCCACCATGTCAGTGTCACTGCAATGCTGAGAATGACCCACCACCCAAATAGTACCTGCTCTGTGGTGGTCCTGTGGGGTCCTGACCATTGAAGAACAGGATGAAAACAAAGTATGCGGAGAAACAGATGGACTACAGTCTGTAATTATAGAACTATAAAGTGCACCTATATGGTCAGTGGAGCTGATGAAGTGGACAATGAGTGTAGAAACAAGCAGGTGGGTTTAACGTTAGGGCTGAACAGCGCATATAAATTTTGAATTCTTTTAAAATTAGCTAATATTTTTAGCCTTTTTCCTCTCTGTTATGTATCTGTGCTTTGACTTAATAGTCTGACTCCATTAGTCAATAGAAGTAACGGATAAATTGGAGGAGACGAGGCTAAAGCTGACCTGAATCAATGAGTCATTGAATCAACGGAATCGGTTGAGGAAGACTGAATCGAACTGAACCATCACTGGTTGCTCCATGGCGCCACGCACTCGACCAGAGAGGAAACAAAACCGAGTCTGATTCACATGTAGAATGAAAACCATGAATAGCAATTAGTTCATTCAACGTTATTGGTTATGTAATCGCCTTTAAAGTGTGATTGCTTTTACAGAAACGGTTTCATGTTGTTTTAATGTTACTTTTAAATGATTTTGTCATGAGAGTGCCATTTGAACAAGTGAATGCAGTTGTTCAGGTTGTTCATTCACACTTTGGGCATTGTTAGCAATTTGATCTGTGCTGTTTATTGTGGACCTTTTTTCTCTTTATGCTGATATTTAGGGCCAAACACATGAGCAGCCAAAGCTTTCCTTGCGTGGTGCATATATTTAGTAATATACTTGGAGTTACACCTACCTTGTATCTGCACTCACTGGCCATTTTATCAGAAACACCTACCATGAAGGTGTACTTAGTAGTTCTACAAAGTCTGTCTGCTACACACAAATTGTCAGCCACATTTTACTCCATCTATCAATAGAAAAGGACCACTGTAAGACCACTGTGGACCCCATATTATTTGGCTGGTGGACCATTCTTAACTCATCAGTGACACCAGTGTTGTAGTGGCTTGTCTGTGGGTGTTGTGCTGGTGTGAGTGTATCAGACACTGCATGCTAACATTTTTAAAGAGCTTTCCAACAAAATGTCCAGCCAGCAGTGGTGCTGTGGTCCTAGAGTGAGAGTAAGACCAATACACATTGAATAGGTTACAGTAGGCAAGTACACAACAGATGGACTAGTACAGTTAAAGGGTAATTCCATTGATTTTTTTTACAAAAAATTCTGTATAATTCACTTGTTAAAATGTAAACAAAGTCAATCAGAGTGGTTTGATGTGAAGTGCTCCATTTCAGAGAAACTCACTGAGTCAGATCGTTCATAGTGGGGTTGATGGGAACCAGACGTCTGAAGAGTTCAATGCCACTGAAAGCTCCCTCACAGAAAGTTGTTACATTAAATACTTACTCACACGTTGCCTGATGCCTGAGACGTTTCTTGTTTGTTTTGAGAGAGGGTTTTGGCCTAAAATGTAATTTTACGTTAATTTAAAGACCTTGATTCGTGGTGGAGAGGTACATACAGGACATTGTGAGGCAAAATGGTACCCAAAGAAATCTTATGTTTTCAGATTTACTATTATGTTTTCATGATCAGCATTACATATGAAAAAGGTTCACTGGTGGTTTTGGATAGTAAAGAAAATAGCTACATCCGTGTTGTAGACATTGTGACCCCTGGTTCCCATCACCACCACTGTGAAGATACCTGAGTCGTATGTTTCACATCAGACCACTCTGAATGACTGTGATTACATTTCAACCACTGAAATACACAGAAACTTTGAAAACTCAGTGTAATGAAGATTTTCTATATGATATATAAAATTATGTCATCACACCAGGTTTACCAACAGTGGTGAGATGACTGGAGTGAGACTTTAGGGTGGCTTGCGTGAGAGTATTTTGCATGCTTGTGTGCAAAAAAGTGTGAATCCTTTGTTACGCTGTTTCAAACACTAACTGAATATTAGTATGTTGATCTGTGGTTCTCAAACCAGCTCTCTCACCACTCAGACATGAGAGAAAACCACTATCCATATAGTGAGAGAATCACTATCCATACTTTAGTCCATATTCTTCATTCTGGGTTGGGTAAGAGAAGCACATTAAGCAGTGTTGACACTATCGCTGCCATTTTTTGCTCATGTCTCAGCCCTCTGTGTTATTGGAGCCATTGCTTGCTGGTGTACAGTGACAGCAAAAGCTGGTGTGAGTAGTTGAGAGTTGTTAGCCTTGTATAATGAAAAACAGTGTTAAGCAGTTGTCCAAAAGACTAACATGTTAAAGTTTATATATATACATATATATAGTATATATATATATATATAGTATATATATATATATATATATATATATATATATATATATATATATATATATATATACATACATATATATATATATATATATACATATCGATTTTTTCCCGCACCCCTAATATATATATATATATATATATATATATATATATATACAAATAAAAATAAATATGTATATATATATATATATATATATATATATTAGGGGAGCGGGAAAAAATCGATTCTTAGATGCATCGTGATGCGGACGTGGACGATTCTGAATCGCCAGCTCTCACTCGCCAGCTTCTTGCTGAGATTTCCCGTTCCACCTTAAATTCTGACTGAGGCACCGAAGGTAAATGCGGCACCATTTAAGGTGGAACGGGAAAATTAGAAAGAGAAGCAACTTCATCTTCACAACTTTTTAGTGTGTGACAGTCTCTCGTCGCAGATTAAACGTATCAGGAAACCAACTGCGCTGCTTATGAATGCAAATATGTCCATTCATCTCCAAATGTTCGTCTATCTTCCTCTTTTCCTTTTTCGTTCGCTACCAGCTCGGCGAAACCTCCTTGCTATGTGACCTGCGGTCTGCACGCCAGTTCTCAGTCGCTGAAAAACAGGGCTTTTGCGCTATGTTGCACACGCCCTGTTTCGAAGATATTTTACTGACACAGCAATCCCCCCCATCTCTACCACGAGACCAAAACTGAAGTTCACTAAATCACTAAAGAAAACGGGCAGGACGGCTATAACGTGCTGCGTGGACATCCACTGACACTGGATCTTATTTCACCGTAACTGCGCATTTTTTTTATCACAGATGAGTGGCAGCAGCGTCTCCAAACAAGAGCCGTGAATGAGAGCCTTCCAGTTCACTTGCCGCATCACTTCCATTTGTTTCATTAATAAAAGATATTGGACATAAATGCATTATGGATCATTACAAATACTTTGTTTTAAAACTACAAAGTCTTCAGACAGTAAGAAAATAGAAATCATGTATAGAAAAAAAAGATGCATCGATAATCGTTTTATAATCGCATCGCAGCCTCTGAATCGTAATTGAATTGAATCGTGAGGCGCCTAGAGATTCCCACCCCTAATATATATACATACATATATGTATATATATGTATATATGTATATATGCCAATGCCAAGTGTACCCCAGTGTGTAACCGATTATTTTAATTTTTTAGTTCTTTTTTTCAAGCTCTGAAGTCAAAATTAGGCAGAGCATTAAATAGTGAACGTACACCGCTGCTAGCTTAGCACTAATATAATCCCACAAAGGCGCTACCAGAAATTATCAGTATCATAAGCTACTTATGAGGTGAAAGTTTCTTTAATAAACCAATAAACACTTCTATGTTATGAGCCTCTGGTGCATGTTCATGATTATATGACTTAAATTAAAATGAAATGACTGGAATACAACCCTCTAAAACTGCAACCATTAATCTACAATGTATAATGGAATCATACAGCAAGAGTCTATGATATACAACTGTACCGATACAAGTTCAAGTCTATTTTTAATAACTGTAACTAATAAGTATAGCTTTGCTGTGTTACAGTGGCAAAGTCACCACAATGAATAATTTAATCATTATTGTAAATAGTGTTGCCTATAAGGTTAAGATAAATATTTTTAACTGTAAAAATGTAGAAAGATGCACTAACACACATACACGAGTTATTAATCTCAATATTGAATGTTTTGTAGTCAGAATCAATTTATTAATGTTGATTCTTATTATTGATTATTCATCACATCCTATTACTAGGCCTCCACACAGCACAGTATTATGCAGTATTTACTGCATTTCAGGAATAAAGTTAAATAAAGGGTTACAATGTACCTGATTAATAAACTGAAAACATTTCAGCTATGGAATGTATTAAACAGAAGATATTACTGACAACAAACAAGGCAAAAAAGAAGCCAAACCCTGGTTTCCATTTTTTGAAGATACAGTCATATGCAAAAGTTTGGGCTTCCTTAGGCAGATGATAAGCTTTGGTGAAAGTAAGTTAACACACCCTCTCCATAGAACACACTGCTGCACATTTTAACACTGTTTATTTGCTGAATTTAACATATTGGGAAAATAACAAAACACAAAATGTAGCCTGTGCAAAAGTTACAGCACATTTTATAATTTATATTTTATTTTTTCAACATAACTCAACAAATAAATGCAACTTGTGCACTAAATTTGCAGAAAAATGCTATATTTAAGTGTTTTCTCTGTAGAGGATGTGTTACCTTCACTTTTCACTTAGAAAATCAAGAAAACATGTAATTTGACTGGCGATATTCAAACTGTAGTTGAAAAATAATATTATAACATAGAAATATAATGCTACAAACATGCATGTACTAGAAGCTAGACAGTTTAAAGAAATTTAAATATAATGCCCAATAAAACACAATTTGCAGCACGTAAATCAACAAAATTGAGCATATTTGCAATAAAAGCTTGGTTGGACTGAACACTGCACAGGCTTTCAGGATTCACTGTTGATAAGGATGTCCTGAAACATAAAAGTAACACAATGATTAGTGGAATCTCACATTTATTGCATCGCTGCAGATTATTTTCTCATATTTTTCATAGTAATAACTACAGCAAACCGTTCACCCACAGTGTCATGCGTTTCTGTCCTGTAGCGAGTTCACTGTTGAGGGTAGAGGCCCGTCTTCTGCACACCAAACGCAGTGATGAAGATGTTGATGATGACCGTGAGGAACACTAGGCCGGTAGCCACGTTGTTGATGATGTCCAGCTTCCTCTGATTAGCAACATCATTTAGATCTTTACGTGCTGATAGGAGAGAAAGAAATAGAAATTATTTACTCCTAAGATCAGCCCTGAAATGTTTAATCCAACTTTAAATGCTGGAAAATCAGCATTTTCTCACTTTGTGTGGTGTTGGGGGGTCTGTGGGACCCATTTTTAATGTTTACCAAAAGAAAAAGTTATGCAATTTATTATTATTACAATCTCAGATTCTTTGGTCTTTGCTCATTTTCTGTGAAGAACATATAAAATAACCCATTTTCAGTGTCTTCACTCTGTTCACCCCCCACACATTTATATTACACATGTGGTGTTGGGTGAACTTGCAGTGAGTAAAAGTGTGGAGGTGCTGTGTCCTTCACTCTGTTCTCCTACATGGCCTGCTGTTAGTGTGTGTGTGTGTGTGTGTGTGTGTGTGTGTGTGTGTTTGTATATGTGGGTGTATGTGTGAAGGTGGGCAACATGGACAGGCTGCTGACTGGCTACAGCTGCTAAAGGAGAACCCTACACTGGCCACTTGTGATATTTTAAACATCTGGTATTTTTACATAAATTGTTATGGCTGTATTGATTTAGGGCGGCATGGTGGCGCAGTGGGTATCGCTGTCGCCTCACAGCAAGAATGGTTTGGGTTCGATTCCCAGCCAGGCGACCAGGACATTTCTGTGTGGAGTTTGCATGTTCTCCCCGTGTCTGCGTGGGTTTCCTCCGGGTACTCCGGTTTCCTCCCACAGTCCAAAAACATGCAGTCAGGCCAATTGGACATGCTAAAATTGCCCCTAGGTGTGTGTGTGTGACTGTGTATGTCTGTCTGTCTGCCCTGCGATAGACTAGTGACCTGTCCACGGTGTATCCTGCCTTCCGCCCAATGACAGCTGGGATAGGCTCCAGCACCCCACCGCGACCCAGAAGGATAAGCGGTTTAGATGATGTATGTATGTATGTATAATGCGGTGGGCCCACCTGACCACTGAGTAACAAACACATCAACACCACACAAGCGTTAAAGACTTTTGAGATACATGTAAATGTACCATTCACTCTTCAGTCCATACAGCCCACATAAGACATCTAAGCTGCAAAACAGCCTTTTTTAAGTAGTTGTTATTTATATCACAAAACCCATCAGGTATCCATGTATTCAGCCTACAGCAGTTTGGCCCCGCCCACTCATACTGAGCATTATTAGAAGTGTTTCAGTTTTTGAACGAGGCACAATGCAGGGCAGCCAATCAAAACAGAGCTCATTTGCATATTTCAGTCTTAAAAGGCCCGATCAACATTTTCCTTGCTTTTTTTGATGTAGTATGCAGACATTTTTAAAGTTTCCAAACATACCATTCTCTCCGCTTTCCACACAGTCCATACATGGAAACTATATGGAATTGACTGTTTCTGTCACAAAAATCAACACATTTACATTTATCTACCTATTCAGCCTGTGTCAGTTTAACACCGCCCATTCATACTGGAGTTCTAGGGAGTGTTTCAGCTCTGAGTGCTTTTTGAATGAGGCAAAATACATGGCAGCCAATCAGAACAGAGCTCATTTACATATCAGTCTTAAAGGTGCAAAAACACACTGTTTAAATCTAATTCTAATTCAGTTTTTCATACCTAAAACCACACAAACGTTATAAGTGGACCTCAGAGGGCAAAATGAATAGTGTAGGATATGGGCCCTGTGTGGGTACAGAAATAAAAACAGCTTGTTTAATTTTAAGGATAAAGAGAGTTTGAAAAATGGTCAATGAAAAAATGAATAATAACTATTTTTGATAGACAAAAAACATACAGATATCATAAATGGACTTCAGGGGGGGAAATACATGAACAATGTATCTAACCATATTTGAAAAGTTCACACTGTTTATTTTCTCAATTTTTAATCTCATCTTTTATGCTCACCCATGAACACAAACAAACCCCCAGCGAGCACTTGGAAGAAGAGCGAGACTGCGATGAGCACAATCACAGTCATGTAGTACTTAAAGTCAGGCCCCTGCTCCAGCACTGCTTTCAGCTGAGAAGCGTTGGCCATCAGCAGAGCCACGTCCAGCATGCTCTCCGCCACGCTCTTCTTAGTGGCATAGTGATTCATGTTGAGAGGCTGAAAGAGAGAGAGAGAGAGAGAGAGAGAGAGAGAGAGAGAGAGAGAGAGAGATGGATAACACATTAGGAATGTTCTCTGAGAGGTTGTTACTCCAAAACAAGCAGGTGAATCATAAAGAAAGGATCTGAGCAGATCTCAAAGGAATTATCTCTAAAATCCACTCACTTTATTAAAAAACACATACCATGTACTTCCACTCACTGGCCACTTTTTTAGAAACACCTACCTTGTACTTCTACTAACTGGCCACTTTAAATAGAAACACCTACCTTGGATGTCCATTAACTGGCCACTTTATTAGAAACTCCTACGTTATACTTCCATTAACTGGCCACTTTATTAGAAACACATACCTTGTACTTCCACTCACTGGCCACTTTATTAGAAACACCTGCCTCATACTTGCACTAACTGGCCGCTTCATTAGAAACACCTACCTCGTACTTCTACTAACTGGCCACTTTAATAGAAACACCTACCTTGGATGTCCATTAACTGGCCTCTTTATTAGAAACTCCTACGTTGTACTTCCATTAACTGGCCACTTTATTAGAAACTCCTACGTTGTACTTCCATTAACTGGCCACTTTATTAGAAACACGTACCTTGTACTTCCACTCACTGGTCACTTTATTAGAAACACCTGCCTTGTATTTCCACTCACTGGCCACTTTATTATAAACACCTAGCTTGGAAGTCCATTTACTGGTCACTTTATGAGAAAAGTCTACCTTTTACTTCCACTACCTGGCCACTTTATTAGAAACACCTACCTTGTATTTCCGCTCACTGGCCACTTTATTAGAAACACCTACCCTGTAACTTCAGTCTCACTGCAAGGTTGAAAGGGGCCCGCCACCCAAAAATATCCAGACAACAGCGGCTCTGTGGTCAGAAACTGAGCACTGATGAAGGGCTGAAGGATGGCTAACACAAACTGTGCATCACCAGATAAGTTACAGCCTCTAACTGTACAAGGTGGATGTATGAGAGAAGTGCTTCTGATAAAGTGGACAGTGAGTGTAGGTTTGCTGTGTCAAGAGGAAAACCTGCTGAGCTTAGCATCTCTTCTCACAGCAGTGGAAATATGTCACCAAATAATACATGAATTTTCAACTTTTTGTCTGGAGCAGTTTTAAAGAGGAGTTCCACTAATTCTCCTGAATTTTATGCGTAATTCAATGGTTAAAATGCAGACAAAGTCATTCAGAGTGGTCTGATGGGAAATGCTCTGTTCTAGAGAAACTTACAGAGAATTGTTCACAGTGGTCGTGATAGGAACCAGATGTCTGTGGAGCTTAATGCCTCTGAAAGCTCCCTCACAGAAAGTTAGTACATGACATTGTTACGGATATGTAGCCTGTTGCCTGAGACATTGTTTTTACAACAGCTTTGAGATAAGATTCTAATATAAAACATGTATTTTAAAATTAGTTGATGATGGATGATGGATGATGGTACATACAGGGTGTTATAAGGCGAAAAGAAAACTTATTTTTTCAGATTTGTCCAGTATTTTATCATCATCAGCACTGCTCGCCTTCTCACAGGCACAAAAAAGAGGGACCACATTACCCCCTTCTTGACATCCCTACTCTGGCTTCCTGTGTACTACAGGGTCCAATTCAAAGGTCTTTCATTTGTTTTTAAGTCACTAAATGGGTCTTATATAGGAGATCTGCTCCAACTCTAATTCCTTCTCCAGGTCCTTGAGGTCATCAGATCAGTTGTTACTAGCTGTGCCACGGTCTCGGTTGAAACTCAAAGGTGACCGGGCCTTTGCTGTTGTGGCGCCGAGACCGTGGAATAGTCTGCCTCTGGACATTAGGTCTGCACTCTCTACTGATGCCTTTAAGTCTAGATTAAAACCCTAGTTTTATCGGTTAGCCTTTGATTCTGTGAATTGATTGCACTTGAACTTGTTTTGTTATATATGTCTTATGTTGTTTTATTGTTTATTTATTTATTTATTTATTTATCTAATTGCATTCCCTTTTGTACAGCATTTTGGGTTTAAATGTGCTTCACAAATAAATACTTATTTAAAAATACTAACGAAATATAAAATATAAAAACTCAGAGGACACATGTAGGTGGTGGTCTTGGATATTAAATAAAATATATATTATATTATATAAAATGTAGCGCTGTCGCCCCACAGCAAGAATGGCCTGGGTTCGATTCCTGGCTGGGTGACCAGGGTCATTTCTGTGTGGAGTTTGCCTGTTCTCCCCGTGTCTGCGTGGGTTTCCTCCGGGTTCTCTGGTTTCCTCCCACAGTCCAAAAACATGCAGTCAGGCCGATTGGACTTGCTAAAATTGCCCCTATGTGTGAGTATGTGAATGTGTCTGTCTGTCTGTCTGCCCTGTGATGGACTGGCGACCTGTCCAGGGTGTATCCTGCCTTCCGCCCAATGACAGCTGGGATAGGCTCCAGCACCCCACCGCGACCCAGAAGGATAAGCGGTTTCGATGATGGATGGATGGATGGATAGATTATATAAAATGGCTATATTTGTGTTGTAGATATTTCTCAGAGTCAGTGTGTTTCTCTAAAATGAACCATTTTGTGATTATTTTAAAACACACTGAATGACTTTTTTATCCCAAGCAGTGAACTATGCACAAATTTAGTAAAATGGGTGTTATTGCCCTTTGAGTTATAAGGACATTTCAACTTAAAATTTATGTAATTTTCTTTAACATTTACTTAAATATATTAAGATTAAGTGACCCTTATTAGTCCCACAACGGGGAAATTCACCTCCACATTTAACCCATCCGTGCAGTGAAACACCACACTAGTGAACACACACACTAGGGGGCAGTGAGCACACTTGCCCGGAGTAGTGGGAAGCCCTATCCGCAGCCCCCGGGGAGCAGCTGGGGGTTAGGTGCCTTGCTCAAGGGCACTTCAGTCACGTACTGTCGGCTCAGGGGATCAAACCGATGACCTTCCGGTCACAAGGCTGGTTCCCTAACATAATACTTAACACCTCAACACCGTTTGAGGCAACTGATGATTTAGACATGCAGTTTGCACAGTGCTATGTAGTGAGATGTGACTCCATTAGCCTCACAGCTCCAGTGCAAAACTAAAGAAACACACTTCAGACAGCAAACGCGTCTCGGCTGATTGACTACACTGGAGGAAAGTGTGTAAATTTGATTATTCACCAAACTATCGCTTTAAAGTGTGTTGGATATTCGTCACAGTCACAGTAAAGAGCACAGAGACTTTCTAACACACCTGAATCAGCTCAGTAACTAATTAATAAGCTCTTCATGTGCTATATCAGGTGTGTTATACAAGACAAAGTGCATAAATGTGAATTCCAGCCATAGAGAGCTCACTCAGACTCAGCTTTTCAACTAGAAAGTATCTGCTTTTTCATTCTCCACCAGCAGGGGGCAGCAAAAAGCAGAGGAAATATGAAAATGGCCCTTGAAACTACGCGCAGCTACAGAATGTTTTAGTTGTGGCTCAGCTTAGAGGAAAACATGATTCCTTGACAGGAATTAATTCAGTTACATTTTAGAAAGTAATATAAGCTTGTAAATAAGACAATGTAAGAATGATACCAATATACAGAATATATTCATTAAACACTGCCTCACAATTTTGGGCAGTGAAAGATGGAACCTTTCACATAACATTTAATGTGCTATTTCACAAAACATTTGGGTTGAGTAGTAATTCTCCTCCATAGCTAAAACCATAAGGCCTGTCCCAGCTGTGTAACTCTCTGTCTGCCAGTAGTGCCTGTTTTACAGTCCGGTCCCATCCTAAAGGGTTGAGATCACTAGTTTCCTGTAGGACACCTTTAGATCCTGTTAGGAAACCATCAAATGCATCTGGAACCAGCCACTGGTCACCTATTAAACCATTAGGACCCTTTACATTGTGATACCCACCCCTTAAACCAAAACACATTACAAAACCATCAGGAAGCAATTTAATGGTTTCTATGGGTTTTTCAGCAGGGCTGGTGTGGCAGAGTTCAAAACATCATGGACTGTGTACGCACGGCCAAGCCTATCAACAAAAGTAAGAAATATGAAGCTTTGAAGTGGAATTTATTAGCAGATGACAAACACGTTTTTCTTTAATTCACTTGATAACACGCTGCACACCACCAAGAATGATAGCAGGCTGCCCATATGGAAAAACACATATATACAGACATGTATTTTTATATATATATGTGAAATACATCCATCCATCCATCCATCCATCATCGAAACCGCTTATCCTTCTGGGTCGCTGGAGCCTATCCCAGCTGTCATTGGGCGGAAGGCAGGATACACCCTGGACAGGTCACCAGTCCATCGCAGGGCCGACAGACATACATACACATACACACACACACCTAGGGGCAATTTTAGCATGACCAGTCAGCCTGACTGCATGTCTTTGGACCATGGGAGTACCCGGAGGAAACCCACGCAGACACGGGGAGAACATGCAAACTCCACACAGAAACGACCCTGGTCACCCGGCCGGGAACCGAACCCAGGCCCTTCTTGCTGCGAGGCGACAGTGCTACCCACTGCGCCACTGTGCTGCCATGTGAAATACATTTTAAATAAATTGCAATCCATGCAGAAATACATGCGTTTAGAATGTGTTTTAGAATATATTGCCATATTAACCAAATATATTTTAAAATCCATTTATTTTAAAATGAATGGGGAAATGTTACGCATAGAAACGTTACACACAAAAATAAATGTATGTAAATGTGTTTATCAAATCCATTTGAAAATGTGTGAAAATAGCCAAAATCCTTTTTAATGCACTTCACTGTTTGGAACAGCTTTTGAAATGAATTTGTGTTCTAGTATCTTAATTTTAAATATTAACCTTTATAAATGAGCCTTTAACATGACGAAAGCGAGTGTTGCAGGTATTGATTCACTGTGAACATGCAATTATGATTTAATATCCTGTTTATGTGAAGTACATTTTGTCTGAGCACCGTGTTCACATACGTACATGGTTAATGTAGAGTACAATGCAAAATACAGAAGTCAGTACCGTTTAGTTATATCTGTAATCTTTGTTAAAACTACACACAATTGAAAAATATGATAACAAATAGAAATAAATACATTTTAAAATAGATTTAACAAATGTTTTAGGCCATTTTCATACATTGCAAAAATATATTTGATAAATATATTTGGAACATTGTTTTTACCCCCATATGGTTGCTTAGATAACTCAGACTAACTCCAGTCCAGAGTCCATCCCAATTTTCATTATTAATAAATGTAAGATATGGAACTCTTACCAGTATTAAAAAGAGACTAAAAATAAAAAGCTCTCAAGGAAGAATAAGATGCCATGCTTTATCACAGCCAACACAAGACAACACAGAAAAATTAAATTTCATGGAATTGAAAAGGAATTGAAAGGATTTTTCAAGATTTTTTGTATATTTATTACAGTCTGAAAAATAAAGCTATGTATTTTACTACAACTTGATAATTAGTAGTCGTGATAATTGTGAAAAGTCAATATTCATCATATTTACACGTTGTAATATGTCTTATCACCAACAGAGGGCAGCACAGTATGTTTTTTTTTTTTAGATAAGTTGCTTGTGGTCCACTTTGGCACACTTTTTGACCACAGGAGGACGCCAAATATTAAGCTTTGACATTTTTCTCTCAGTTTTATAATGTGAGATGGCTGTGGTACAGAGCAGCCTTAAAGGGCTCATATCCTGCACTTTTGTGGTATTTTTTCTTTTCCTCCTGAGGCCAACTTACCATGTAACACATAACACTTGTGGTTTCATACACCAAAAACAGTCATAATTCATTTTACATGAGAACTTTCAAATTTCCAGCCTCTCTTTATCCCTTAGAATTAAAACAGGCTGTTTTTGGTACTGTGCCTTTAAGACTGATATATGTAAATGAACTCTGTTCTGATTGGCTGGCCTGTGTTGTGCTTGGTTCAGAAGACAGTCCGGGGTTGAAACACTCCTTAAAGCTTCAGTGTGAGTGGGCTGAATAGACAGACATATGTAAATAAACTGGATTTTATGACATCACAAAAACAGTGAAATCAAAATTCCTCTTTTAAAGAGCCCATATCCTACATTTTTTATTTTTATTTTTCCTCCGCTCATTTCCGTGTATGGACTTGGGAGTAAACAGTAAGTTGTGAAACTTTAACAATATTTAGATTCTACTCTTTTATTTATATCACTTTTATTTAAATAAAGGGAAGAAAAGTACATTTTCCATGATATGAGGCCTTTAATGCTACAATGCACCAAACTGGTCCGTATCACTGTGAATTTATATACATTCATATCCAGTTCAGTACCGTCCAGGACAATACAGGACAATAACAACTGACGGTGGAACATATTCACATCCGCGCAAATGAATATCAAACAATCTGCAGGGCCTTCAGAGCCACTAATAATGGATCTCTCTCTCTCTCTCTCTCTCTCTCTCTCTCTCTCTCTCTCTCTCACTCTCACTCTCTCTCTCTTTGGTCTCTCGCTTTCTCTCTCTCTCTCTCTCTCTCTCTCTCTCTCTCTCTCTCTCTCTCACTCTCACTCTCTCTCTCTTTGGTCTCTCGCTTTCTCTCTCTCTCTCTCTCTCTCTCTCTCTCTCTCTCTCTCTCTCTCTCTCACTCTCACTCTCTCTCTCTTTGGTCTCTCGCTTTCTCTCTCTCTCTCTCTCTCTCTCTCTCTCTTTCGATCTCTCGCTTTCTCTCACTCTCTCTCTCTCTCTCTCTTTCGATCTCTCGCTTTCTCTCTCTCTCTCTCTCTCTCTCTTTCGATCTCTCGCTTTCTCTCTCTCTCTCTCTCTCTCTCTCTCTTTCGATCTCTCTCTCTTTATCTCTCTCTGTATCTTTCTTTCTATCTATCTGTCTTTAGTCTCTCTCTCTCTTTCTCTTTCTATCTATCTGTCATTAGTCTCTCTCTCTCTCTCTCTGTCTCTTTCTCTTTCTATCTGTCTGTCTTTAGTCTGTCTCTCTCTGTCTCTCTCTGTCTCTTTTTCTTTCTATCTGTCTTTAGTCTCTCTCTCTCTGTCTCTTTTTCTTTCTATCTATCTGTCTTTAGTTTCTCTCTCTCTCTCTTTGTCTCTTTTTCTTTCTATCTATCTGTCTTTAGTTTCTCTCTCTCTCTCTTTGTCTCTTTTTCTTTCTATCTATCTGTCTTTAGTCTCTCTCTCTCTCTCTCTCTCTCTCTCTCTCTCTCTCTCTCTCTCTCTCTCTCAGGGGCACTAAACACAACTAAGCTGCTGCTCTTTATGCTTTTTAAACTGCACCTATTAGCCATTTGTTATCTCTACCATCAGGTGTTAAAGACACGTAGATATTTTTAGTGATAGTGTCCCCACTGCTCTGCCCCTTAGATGTGACCCTTCTCTGCATGATGCATTGTAAAGATGAATAACTGGGCAGAGGATTGCCCGTCTTTGTGGAAAGCTCACATTTTGTCTGATCAGGATCTGCCTGTCAGCCCCATATCTGCATCAGAGCAAACTGTTCAGCAGGGTGCCCCCCTCCTTCTCTCCTCTCCATATCACGCAGCACCTTCTACACATGCTATACTGAGCGCAGTATGTGTGGAATATGGTTGTGTGGGGGGGATGTTTTGGCCAAACTCACAGAGCCTGAAGGTTTTCCACGAATCACACTCCGGTGAAACAGAGCCCAGGCGCTCTTCCAAATACCACACGCGCCGCCTCGCTGTTTTCCTCAACCACAGGGCCCGTTTTCCCTTTTTTCCCATAAAATAAACACCATGGGAGAGGTCAGGAGGACTGCACAAAGGAGCTCCATACAGCAGGCCCACAGGAAGTCCACCTCCCCACCCACTCATTGGTCGCTCAGCTGGCCAATAGCGAATAGGAGCGGCCGAGGAGGGTTCGCCTGAGCCAGACACAGGTTTGCTACATTCTTCCTTTTTGTTTTGTTTTTTTTCCACTTTGCTCCTCCACATCTCTGAACACGTGCCAGGTAGGATGGTATGTGTAAACACGCCGATTCTGTGAGAGTGACCTAAGAGCAAAGAACAGGAGCTGGAGTGGATCTAGACAGCGGGGGTGGAGGTGGGGGTTAGCGAACTGGAGATTTTTTGGCAGAGGAGCTAGACGCAGAGTGGCAGGCACAAAGTTGCTGTGTACCTTCTCTGTTATTTATATATAATATGCAGCACTGTGCAAAAGACAGACTATTCCTGTTAGGGTTTGAGGAGATGAGATGCAAAATCATCCACTTGTATAAAGAAGGAGAACATCAACTAAAACTAAGTGAAAAAAAAGTTTCCAAAACTGGAGCTTAAAAAATGATTAAAAGCTACAGAGAAAATGGGCCTCCTAACAACCACCTGGAAGACCTGGTAGACACCAAAACTGCCCCATCAGATAAACAGCACTTAAAGCTTTCATCTTTGAGAGAGAGGAGAAAATCAAGCTGCTTCAGATCTGAAAACATCCACAGGTGTTTCTGTCCATCCTTCCACTGTGAGAAGACGACTCAGCGCTGTGGGTCTGAAAGGATGTGTAGCTGTACTTGGATTGTGAGAAGCAGAAAATATAACCAACTTCTAAGACTGAACTTTGGAGGTGTGTCTGCAGATCTGTTTAAAAAACTCTCCTGAAAAGAACAGCAGCTGTAATAAAGGCAATGAGTGACAAATGTGATATTATATTTAGTTGTTGAGGCTGTTCTTCTTCACTTCGGATCCCTGGAAGGCCTTTCAGTGGATGTTTCTCTGATTAAAGAACAGATGTGCGAGTATGACGACCATAAGACTGAAGATCCTCCACTAAATGCAAAGATTCTACTCTAATAAAAGATTTATGTCTGAGCCAAGAATCATTTAGGAACCCTTTTTTAAGGGAGTGTGTGGATAAATCATCGCTGTCCAAAGAAAAACATGAACTTCCTTTTTTTTGTCACTTTTCTACATCATTTGAGCCAGGCAGCTGTTCTTTACGTTGTGTGAATTTCATGATGAATAGATAAACAGAAATGCTCCAAAATTGCTTGGAATAAAATCACTTTACATTAACTTATATTGAAAGTAAAGAACATTTTTGGCCTCTCCTGTAAACTGACCATTTTGGAGATATTAGTTTTTCTTTGGAGAGCACCGATATACAGAGGATTGTGGAAAGGTTTGGTCTCATTCCAAACACACAGTATTTCAAAATCTGTATAGAAAATAAACAAAGGTGCAAAACAATTCAAAATGTGTTTGTAAATAAACACAGATACAGAGAAAGACATAATCCAGTTTAAAATCCACTTTTAAATTATATTTTTATACACTGAGTAGCCTATACAAAGATCAACCACCACCCTCTAGAGAAAGCCTGCAAAAGCACCAAGGAGGCCAATGAAATGTACTGTGGGAAAATCAGCCCTGCCATGTTCCTCTTCTACCCTGGAGCGAGGATTGAGCATTTATATGAAGTCAGGAAATGGTTGGATCATCAGGGCTTCCATCCAGCTCTCGGCTTCCTGTCTTCATTCCTAACACAAATACAGCTACACACCTGCAAACAAATGTGATCTCACTGTGGAAGGAAAAGAGTTCTGAAAACAGCTCCACAGGCTGAGTGAATGTATTGATAATGTATAGATAATGTGGTTTGCTAAAGCAAAGCTGAATTAATATTCAGATTTGTAAGGACAAACCAAACTATCACAGATAGCACAGATTGAAATGTCATAGCCTGTATGTCCACGTCAGTATTGCGCCACAGACAACACACTCAATAACAATAACAACACGGCACATGGTTTTGTCTATTGGTGAGTTTTGTTGTTACATTACTGTAGTAAGAAATCTGAACAGGGCGGCACAGTAGCGCTGTCGCTTCACAGCAGGAAGGCCTGGATTCGATACCCCGGCCGGGTGAGTGGGGTCCTTTCTGTGTGGAGTTTGCAGTTCCCCCCGTGTCTGCGTGGGTTTCCTCCAGGTGTTCTGGTTTCCTCCCACAGTCCAAACACATGCAGTCAGGCCAGTTGGAGATACTAAATTGCCCCGAGGTGTGTGTGACTGACCTGTGATGGACTGGCAACCTATCCAGAGTGTTTCCTGCCTTCTGCCCAATGCAAGCCGGGATAGGCACCAGCACCCCCATGAACCCAGGAGGATAAGCGGATTAGATGATGAGTGAATGAATAAATTAAATTTGAGCAGTTCTGTACTGTTACTGAGCTCCAACGTCAAAAAACAGGTCATTCATTTCAAAATTTGGTTGTTAGGATGTAAAAAAAGTCATACTAAGTAAATGTTTACAGCACAGATGTAACCATTTTATTTACTATGCAATACAAGCAGTGAATCTGTGTGTTTTCTGATGTTTTATGTACTTTCAGAAAAAAAGGTACAAAACTGTCACTCTTATCACTGGGGTGGTCTCCTCAAGGGTACATCTCAGTGCCTTTAGTCAGGGAACATAACTGAACCATACTCCACTGAAATGATATGTTCTAAGCTGTGCTGACTCCACACACCCCGTCTCGCCTCCAGGCTTTTTATTTTATTGTTCTGTTTTAAAACATTTGGTTGTGAAAAGGTACAAATATAAACTTCTCACCTGGAAAAAACTATGTATAATTATATTTAATTGTAAATTATATATATATATATATATATATATATATATATATATATATATATATAAAAGGTTAATAAATGGTAAAACAGTTAAAAAGTAAGTTTTCTCTGGGGACTATTTTGCCTTAGAACACCCTGCATGTACCCCTCTAAATGCATTAAAAAATACTTTTAGGCCAAATTCTCCTCTCAAAACTGTCTCAAAACAATGACTTGGACGTCAGACGGTGTAGTGATAACCTTTTTCATGTCATTACTTTCTGTGCTGGAGGTTTTAAAGGCATTAAAGTCCTTTGATGTCTGGTTCCTATCACAACCACTGTGAACAATTCTGACTCTGTGAGTTTCTCTAGAATGGAATATTTCACACCGAACCACTCTAAATTACTTTATTTACAATTAAATCATTTAATTGGGTAGAAAATGTGAAAAATCCATGGAATTCCCCTTTTAGAAGTGCTCTGAATTTGAATAACTTCACAAAAATGATCATAAGACACAAAGGCCTTTGGGCTCAAGGCCTAAAAACATGACGTCTAACAGAAGCACGATCTCCATAACAACAGTTTTCAGAGCCACTCATTATGAAGCACAATTATGAATGAACTCATTAAGAGCTGTGAGTGAGCTGTTTAGTGGAATCAGGCAGGACCGCACTGAGAACATTCTTTACTCTTTTGCCTCTATCTTGTCTCCAGGTTCTTTCTGCTTCTTGTCAGCTGCTCTAGATGATAGTGTGATAGGCTGCTGCCACTGGACTGGTTGTTTACCCATCAGAAAATGATAGAAACGCAGTGCGCTTTGCTTCAGGGCCTTCTGAAAGAGCCAGTCTCGTGACATTAGCTTGTATTTCCCGTCTTGCCCTTGAACTAGTGAAACTCCTTAAACGTGTCCCACTCATCCTTCTGTTAGTAGATATGAGCTAGAATAAACCCCATCTTTATTGTGAGAAAATGTGCTCTTTTATCTTCTGAGTTGGGTTTTAAGAGGCTGTGGTTATTCAGTGGCATGTTTCCCACTGAGATATCTTCTGTTTTTGCTCGAGTGAAAATCTGTACATGGTCTGTAGGTTCTGTTACTTTGTGCCAATGAATTTGCTGTTCTTTAGTTAAATCTCTTGAACTTTCTTGAACTCTTTAGAACTCATGACAGCCAATCCATGCATGAACTAGCGTGTTTCGTGAAGTTGTAATCCTGCTTTAAACTCAGACTGAACTCTTTATCTACCAAGTTCTCAAATCTAACATCAGTAGTCCACCAGATCTTTGTTTTTGACAGTTTTCTTATAGATTTTAACGGTGGTCAATGGCTTATCTCCTTCTTTTCAATCTTACTGCCTCTGTTAATCTCTCTCGTAAACTATTTGTATCTTAACTCCACTGTATGTTGCATCCTAGAGGTGGATAGACTTTTTTGGGTCAATATTTTGTTCCCAATACTGTCTGAGCTGAGCTGCCCAAAGTTGCCTTTTCGGGAAATTTACTTTGGCCTGCCAAAAGGTTACCCTAACCTTTACTCCATAAAACCATAAAAACATGTTTAATACTACATATAACTTTCTTGAAATAAAAGGGTTTGATGTAGTATGCAAACATTAAGTTTCAAAATGTACCATTCACTGCCCGCTCGATACAGTCCATTTAAGCAAACAAAACTGAAAACAGCTTGTTTTGAATTCAGTGTTTCTGTGATGTCACAAAAACCAACCCATTTACATTTATCTGCCTATTGAGTTTACAGCAGTGTAGCCCCAGCCTTTCCACGCTGAAGCTATGAGGAGTGTTTCAGCCTGCACTGCTTTTTGAAAGAAGCACATTACAGGGCAGCCAATCAGAACAGAACATATATATTTTTTACATATATATATATATATATATATATATATATATATATGTTTATATACACATATATATGTTTATATTTATACATATATATATGTGTGTGTGTGTGTGTGTGTGCGTGTAAATATGCAATAAAAATAAATATACAATAATATGATTAAAAAAAACTGAAAATATGTGGAATATGGACCCTTTAGTGCATTGTAGTGTGTTTAATAAATGATTCTGCATGCTAGTTTAGGTTATTTGTTCTTCAGCAGTTATTTATGGGGTTGTTCCCATAAAGACTCATATTTTGAAGGCATGGCTGGTCCACCTTTGGGGGGAGCAGGACATAGCTAAG